GGATGTTGTATTTGTCATGACATTAGTACACTCACGGGATGTTGTATTTGTCATGACATTAGTACAATCACCGGATGTTGTATTTGTCATGACATTAGTACACTCACCGGATGTTGTATTTGTCATGACATTAGTACAATCACCGGATGTTGTATTTGTCATAAACTTAGTACAATCACCAGATGTTGTATTTGTCATGACATTCGTACACTAACGGGATGTTGTATTTGTCATGACATTAGTACACTAACGGGATGTTGTATTTGTCATGACATTAGTACACTCACCGGCTGTTGTATTTGTCATGACATTAGTACAATCACCAGATGTTGTATTTGTCATGACATTAGTCCATTCACCGGATGTTTTATTTTTCATGACATTAGTACACTCACCGGATGTTGTATTTGTCATGACTTTAGTACACTCACGGAATGTTGTATTTATAATGACATTCGTACACTCACCGGCTGTTGTATTTGTCATGACATTAGTACACTCACCAGCTGTTGTATTTGTCATGACATTAGTACACTCACGGAATGTTGTATTTATCATGACATTAGTACAATCACCGGATGTTGTATTTGTCATGACATTAGTCCATTCACCGGATGTTTTATTTTTCATGACATTAGTACACTCACCGGATGTTGTATTTGTCATGACATTAGTACACTCACGGAATGTTGTATTTATCATGACATTCGTACACTCACCGGCTGTTGTATTTGTCATGACATTAGTACACTCACATGATGTTGTATTTGTCATGACATTAGTACACTCACCAGATGTTGTATTTTTCATGACATTAGTACACTCATGGAATGTTGTATTTATCATGACATTAGTACAATCACCGGATGTTGTATTGGTCATGACATTAGTACAATCACCGGATGTTGTATTTTTCATGACATTAGTACACTCACCAGATGTTGGATTTTTCATGACATTAGTACACTCATGGAATGTTGTATTTATCATGACATTAGTACAATCACAGGATGTTGTATTGGTCATGACATTAGTACAATCACCTGATGTTGTATTTGTCATGACATTGGTACCCTCACGGGATGTTGTATTTGTCATGGCATTAGTACACTCACCGGATGTTGGATTTGTCATGACATTAGTACACTCACGGGATGTTGTACTTGTCATGACATTAGTACACTCACGGGATGTTGTATTTGTCATGGCATTAGTACACTCACCGGATGTTGGATTTGTCATGACATTAGTACACTCGCCAGATGTTGTATTTTTCATGACATTAGTACACTCACGGGATGTTGTATTTGTCATGACATTAGTACACTTACCAGCTGTTGTATTTCTCATGACATAAGTACACTCACCGGATGTTGTATTTGTCATAAACTTAGTACAATCACCAGATGTTGTTTTTGTCATGACATTTGCACACTCACAGGATGTTGTATTTGTCATGACATTAGTACACTCACCGGCTGTTGTATTTGTCATGACATTAGTACAATCCCCTGATGTTGTATTTGTCATGACATTAGTACACTCACAGGATGTTGTATTTGTCATGACATTATTACACTCACCGGCTGTTGTATTTGTCATGATATTAGTACACTCACCAGATGTTGTATTTTTCATGACATTAGTACACTCACGGAATATTGTATTTTTAACATGACATTAGTACAATCACCGGATGTTGTATTGGTCATGACATTAGTACAATCACCAGATGTTGTATTTGTCATGACATTAGTACAATCACCTGATGTTGTATTTGTCATGACATTAGTACTCTCACCGGCTGTTGCATTTGTCATGACATTAGTACACTCACAGGGTGTTGTATTTGTCATGACATTAGTACACTCACCGCCTGTTGTATTTGTCATGACATTAGTACAATCTCCGGCTGTTGTATTTGTCATGACATTAGTACACTCACCGGATGTTGTATTGGTCATGACATTAGTACAATCACCGGATGTTGTATTTGTCATGCCATTGGTACACTCACCGGATGTTGTATTTGTCATGAACTTAGTACAATCACCAGATGTTGTATTTGTCATGACATTAGTACAATCACCGGATGTTGTATTTGTCATGAACTTAGTACAATCACTGGATGTTGTATTTGTCATGACATTAGTACAATCACCGGATGTTGTATTGGTCATGACATTAGTACAATCACCGGATGTTGTATTGGTCATGACATTCGTACACTCACCGAATGTTGTATTTGTCATGACATTAATACACATCTTCAAGGTTCACTATATTTCATGGTTATTTTTGATCTCAGGTTAAAAATAAAAGAAACTCTAGCATAATATTATACAAAGACCATAAGCTGGAAATTACTTTCAATTTTCTAACCCTTACGCTAAAGAATTATTTCACAATCACTTTTGTTTTAATAAGGATTGATATAACATGAAACATTTACTATGTAAAAAGTTAAGTACTGAAATTAAAAACATACACTCCGAGCCAGTAATGTTGAACTCTATTTGCCAAAATATCATCTATAGGATCAATCAAAAGCCCTGCTAATCGTATATTTTAGGTTGCTTGACTGAAACATGAACAGACATTTTGTGCTGAATACCTTTGCTAAGGTCCCATTCGTCAACCTTTCTATGATTAAGTCCTAGTCATGATATATGTAATTGTTTTTATTTTGACTAGTGATTTGTAGATAAGGCATACAAAAATGCACATTTGATAGCTTTAAATTTGTCACCAATCGAAAAGAATAAACATAAAAAGAATTCTGGATTTTTTTTTTATACTATTACCCCAGAAATTTTGTTCACTCAAAAGACTTTCAAAATAGTTTATGGAAGAAAACTCTTTTAGATAAGTGTTATTTGATAAGGTTTGGTAACTTTGTTGAAAGTGGAATGCCATGAAACACTAGTACATGTAATTAATAAAATCATGTTGGCATATTTTTCAGATTTCAAAAATTTTGAAGAAAATTGAATCAGAAAAAACCACAGAGGATTTACAGATTTTGGCTAACTCACCTGAAATCACAAAAAGGCTAACTAAACAGGCTTTGAGGAGAGATGCAATGAAGCAAAGGACATTGGAGGTAATTAGTCGAGTATCTTTATACTGTGATGTTGTTCTCATCGGGATATATAGATATTATATTTGAAAGATAATGATCAGTCTAGACTTTACATTGTGTTTTTCTTTTAGTGCTGCCATATGCATGCAATATTAGATTCAAGTAATGTGTTATAAACAAGTGTATAGTAAATATCTATGACCAACTACAGTGTACATTACGTGGATAATATGATCATGTATTTAGTATCCCCCAATCAAGATGAGGGGGTTAATTTGATTGACCTGGTAATCGTGTTTGCCAACTGTCTGTTCCACCTCCATTTTGCACATGTTGAGTTCTTGTCAGAAAAATCTTCTTAAACACTACACACACAACTTTCTTATGGAAAGTATGCACTCTTGCTTAGAATAACTTTTTAGGTCTGAAGGTGAAAGATCAAGGTCACTGGTACTATGGATCGAAAATAGATTTCAGCACAATGACCGATCAGGTGGGCTAATAAAACTTAAACATTAGAGTTCATACAGAGGTCAGCTTCCTTACAAGAAACACTTACCGTTACTAAGAATTGATTTTCATGTCCAAAGATTATTGATAAAGGTCACTGTTTCAATAAATAGAACATTAATACAAAAACCTTAGTATCAAACCAGGCATATATCATCCCTCACCTTCAAAACTGGTCTGAGGGATTAGTGGTGTTCCGTAATACCCTGTACATAAAATACATTGTGGAATGATACTTATCTGTCTGATTAGTGCTGAATGAGGACAAGTATATAATTTATATTTATTGTCCATGTTCAACTTCTTACATATCATTTGACATCTTTCATTAAATTATGTAGTAAAAAACCTATGTATGGAATATTTTTATTGAAGATTAACGACCCTGAAGAAGTTTTACAGAAGAAATGTGAGCAGCTAGCAGATGCTATCAAGGAATCGGAGAAAATCGTCATCTACACAGGCGCTGGCATAAGTACTGTAAGTAATGGTTGCTGTCCTTGTTTTATGTAATGTTTCAAATTGAACTGATGCTGATTAGTATATAAATATATAAGTACTTTCTGATGAAAGCCCTAATGTAGGTAATGGTATCCTGACGACAAAACTGTCAATCAAACTCAAGATGTCAATCAGTGATATACTGATAAGGGAATTGAAAAGAAGCTGGTGTATGTGTGTAAGTATGTAGACCTGTGTTTAATGTGTGTGTAAGTATGTAGACCTGTGTTTAATGTGTATGTAAGTATGTAGACATGTGTTTAATGTGTGGTAAGGATGTAGACCTGTGTTTAATGTGTATGTAGGTATGTAGACCTGTGTTTATTGTGTGTGTAAGTATGTAGACATGTGTTTAATGTGTGTGTAAGTACATTGTATGTAGACCTGTGTTTAATGTGTGGGTAAGTATGTAGACCTGTGTTTAATGTGAGTGTAATCATGTAGACCTGTGTTTAATGTGTGTGTAGGTATGTAGACCTGTGTTTAATGTGTGTGTGAGAGACCTGTGTTTAATGTGTGTGTAAGTGTGTAGACCTGTGTTTAATGTGTGTGTAGATATGTAGACCTGTGTTTAATGTGTGGGTAAGTATGTAGACCTGTGTTTAATGTTTGTGTAAGTATGTAGACCTGTGTTTAAGGTGTGTGTAAGTATGTAGACCTGTGTTTATTGTGTGTGTAAGTATGTAGACCTGTGTTTAATGTTTGTGTAAGTATGTAGACCTGTGTTTAATGTGTGTGTAATCATGTAGACCTGTTTTTAATGTGTGTGTTATCATGTAGACCTGTGTTTAATGTGTGTGTAAGTATGTAGACCTGTGTTTAATGTGTGTGTAAGTATGTAGACCTGTGTTTAATGTGTGTGTAAGTATGTAGACCTGTGTTTAATGTGTGTGTAAGTATGTAGACCTGTGTTTAATGTGTATGTAAGTATGTAGACCTGTGTTTATTGTGTGTGTAAGTATGTAGACATGTGTTTAATGTGTGTGTAAGTATGTAGACCTGTGTTTAATGTGTGTGTAAGTATGTAGACCTGTGTTTAATGTGTGTGTAAGTACATTGTATGTAGACCTGTGTTTATTGTGTGTGTAAGTATATAGACCTGTGTTTAATGTGTGTGTCAATACATTGTATGTAGACCTTGTAGAAATGTGTGTGTAAGTATGTAGACCTGTGTTTAATGTGTGTGTAAGTACATTGTATGTAGACCTGTGTTTATTGTGTGTGTAAGTATATAGACCTGTGTTTATTGTGTGTGTAAGTATATATACATGTGTTTAATGTGTGTGTAAGTATGTAGACCTGTGTTTAATGTGTGTGTAAGTATGTAGACCTGTGTTTAATGTGTGTGTAAGTATGTAGACATGTGTTGAANGTATGTGTTAGTGTATAGTGAGATCAACAACCGATGTAAGTCTTGTTCATTGTGCCTGGTATGTGTTAGTGTATAGTGAGATCAACAACCGATGTAAGTCTTGTTCATTGTGCCTGGTATATGTTTGTGTATAGTGAGATCAACAACCGATGNGTATGTAGACCTGTGTTTAATGTGTGTGTAAGTATGTAGACCTGTGTTTAATGTGTGTGTAAGTATGTAGACATGTGTTTAATGTGTGTGTAAGTATGTAGACCTGTGTGTAATTTGTATGTAAGTATGTAGACCTGTGTTTAATGTGTGTGTAGGTACATTGTATGTAGACCTGTGTTTAATGTGTGTGTAAGTATGTAGACATGTGTTTAATGTGTGTGTAAGTATGTAGACCTGTGTTTAATGTGTGTCGGTATGTAGACCTGTGTTTAATGTGTGTGTACATATGTAGACCTGTGTTTAATGTGTGTGTAAGTATGTAGACCTGTGTTTAATGTGTGTGTGAGTACATTGTATGTAGACCTGTGTTTAATGTGTGTGTAAGTATTTAGACCTGTGTTTAATGTATGTGTAAGTATGTAGACCTGTGTTTAATGTGGGTGTAAGTACATTGTATGTAGACCTGTGCTTAATGTGTGTGCAAGTATGTAGACCTGTGTTTAATGTGAGTGTAATCATGTAGACCTGTGTTTAATGTGTGTTTACATATGTAGACCTGTGTTTAATGTGTGGGTAAGTATGTAGACCTTTGTTTAATGTGTGTGTAAGTATGTAGATCTGTGTTTAATGTGTGTGTAAGTATTTAGACCTGTGTTTAATGTATGTGTACGTATGTATACCTGTGTTTAATGTGTGTGTAAGTACATTGTATGTAGACCTGTGCTTAATGTGTGTGCAAGTATGTAGACCTGTGTTTAATGTGTGTGTAAGTATGCAGACCTGTGTTTAATGTGTGTGTTATCATGTAGACCTGTGTTTAATGTGTGTGTAAGTATGTAGACTGTTTAATGTGTGTGTAAGTATGTAGACCTGTGTTTAATGTGTATGTAAGTATGTAGACCTGTGTTTAATGTGTATGTAGTTCCACGTTTAATGCTAGTTATAACACTATGAGCAGACAATAATTTTGAAAGAGAATTCTAGTCATAAATTCAAACAAATCTAATGTTCCATTTTTCTAGGCTGCATCAATACCTGATTACAGAGGACCAAATGGTGTGTGGACAATGCTACTGAAGGGACAACAACCGATGTAAGTCTTGTTCATTGTGCCTGGTATGTGTTAGTGTATAGTGAGATCAACAACCGATGTAAGTCTTGTTCATTGTGCCTGGTATATGTTTGTGTATAGTGAGATCAACAACCGATGTAAGTCTTGTTCATTGTGCCTGGTATGTGTTAGTGTATAGTGAGATCAACAACCGATGTAAGTCTTGTTCATTGTGCCTGGTATGTGTTAGTGTATAGTGAGATCAACAACCGATGTAAGTCTTGTTCATTGTGCCTGGTATGTGTTAGTGTATAGTGAGATCAACAACCGATGTAAGTCTTGTTCATTGTGCCTGGTATGTGTTAGTGTATAGTGAGATCAACAACCGATGTAAGTCTTGTTCATTGTGCCTGGTATGTGTTAGTGTATAGTGAGATCAACAACCGATGTAAGTCTTGTTCATTGTGCCTGGTATGTGTTAGTGTATAGTGAGATCAACAACCGATGTAAGTCTTGTTCATTGTGCCTGGTATGTGTTAGTGTATAGTGAGATCAACAACCGATGTAAGTCTTGTTCATTGTGCCTGGTATGTGTTAGTGTATAGTGAGATCAACAACCGATGTAAGTCTTGTTCATTGTGCCTGGTATGTGTTAGTGTATAGTGAGATCAACAACCGATGTAAGTCTTGTTCATTGTGCCTGGTATGTGTTAGTGTATAGTGAGATCAACAACCGATGTAAGTCTTGTTCATTGTGCCTGGTATGTGTTAGTGTATAGTGAGATCAACAACCGATGTAAGTCTTGTTCATTGTGCCTGGTATGTGTTAGTGTATAGTGAGATCAACAACCGATGTAAGTCTTGTTCATTGTGCCTGGTATGTGTTAGTGTATAGTGAGATCAACAACCGATGTAAGTCTTGTTCATTGTGCCTGGTATGTGTTAGTGTATAGTGAGATCAACAACCGATGTAAGTCTTGTTCATTGTGCCTGGTATGTGTTAGTGTATAGTGAGATCAACAACCGATGTAAGTCTTGTTCATTGTGCCTGGTATGTGTTAGTGTATAGTGAGATCAACAACCGATGTAAGTCTTGTTCATTGTGCCTGGTATGTGTTAGTGTATAGTGAGATCAACAACCGATGTAAGTCTTGTTCATTGTGCCTGGTATGTGTTAGTGTATAGTGAGATCAACAACCGATGTAAGTCTTGTTCATTGTGCCTGGTATGTGTTAGTGTATAGTGAGATCAACAACCGATGTAAGTCTTGTTCATTGTGCCTGGTATGTGTTAGTGTATAGTGAGATCAACAACCGATGTAAGTCTTGTTCATTGTGCCTGGTATGTGTTAGTGTATAGTGAGATCAACAACCGATGTAAGTCTTGTTCATTGTGCCTGGTATGTGTTAGTGTATAGTGAGATCAACAACCGATGTAAGTCTTGTTCATTGTGCCTGGTATGTGTTAGTGTATAGTGAGATCAACAACCGATGTAAGTCTTGTTCATTGTGCCTGGTATGTGTTAGTGTATAGTGAGATCAACAACCGATGTAAGTCTTGTTCATTGTGCCTGGTATGTGTTAGTGTATAGTGAGATCAACAACCGATGTAAGTCTTGTTCATTGTGCCTGGTATGTGTTAGTGTATAGTGAGATCAACAACCGATGTAAGTCTTGTTCATTGTGCCTGGTATGTGTTAGTGTATAGTGAGATCAACAACCGATGTAAGTCTTGTTCATTGTGCCTGGTATGTGTTAGTGTATAGTGAGATCAACAACCGATGTAAGTCTTGTTCATTGTGCCTGGTATGTGTTAGTGTATAGTGAGATCAACAACCGATGTAAGTCTTGTTCATTGTGCCTGGTATGTGTTAGTGTATAGTGAGATCAACAACCGATGTAAGTCTTGTTCATTGTGCCTGGTATGTGTTAGTGTATAGTGAGATCAACAACCGATGTAAGTCTTGTTCATTGTGCCTGGTATGTGTTAGTGTATAGTGAGATCAACAACCGATGTAAGTCTTGTTCATTGTGCCTGGTATGTGTTAGTGTATAGTGAGATCAACAACCGATGTAAGTCTTGTTCATTGTGCCTGGTATGTGTTAGTGTATAGTGAGATCAACAACCGATGTAAGTCTTGTTCATTGTGCCTGGTATGTGTTAGTGTATAGTGAGATCAACAACCGATGTAAGTCTTGTTCATTGTGCCTGGTATGTGTTAGTGTATAGTGAGATCAACAACCGATGTAAGTCTTGTTCATTGTGCCTGGTATGTGTTAGTGTATAGTGAGATCAACAACCGATGTAAGTCTTGTTCATTGTGCCTGGTATGTGTTAGTGTATAGTGAGATCAACAACCGATGTAAGTCTTGTTCATTGTGCCTGGTATGTGTTAGTGTATAGTGAGATCAACAACCGATGTAAGTCTTGTTCATTGTGCCTGGTATGTGTTAGTGTATAGTGAGATCAACAACCGATGTAAGTCTTGTTCATTGTGCCTGGTATGTGTTAGTGTATAGTGAGATCAACAACCGATGTAAGTCTTGTTCATTGTGCCTGGTATGTGTTAGTGTATAGTGAGATCAACAACCGATGTAAGTCTTGTTCATTGTGCCTGGTATGTGTTAGTGTATAGTGAGATCAACAACCGATGTAAGTCTTGTTCATTGTGCCTGGTATGTGTTAGTGTATAGTGAGATCAACAACCGATGTAAGTCTTGTTCATTGTGCNACTAGTCTTGACTTACCTGTGTGTAAGATAGAGATACCTCAGGTAAGTCATATAGTCTGACTAGTCTTGACTTACCTGTGTGTAAGATAGAGATATCCCAGGTAAGTCATATAGTCTGACTAGACTATATACCCAAGGTATAACTAGGACAAGAAACTTGGTTGAGCTATTGTTCAAGCTTATTGTATAACATAGTAATTTATATGTATGAAAGCTTGAGCTATTCTGAGTGTAGTGTATAGAATTCTGAGTGTAGTGTATAGAATTCTGAGTGTAGTGTATAGAATTGTATGAGAACCATAGGTGACCATATTTATTGTTATTGTACTTTTTTTTTATCTCATTTACAGAGCTCAGGATCTAAGTGATGCAGAGCCGACTGCCACACATATGTGTATAACCAAACTGGAGAGTGAAGGACATGTGAGTACCATTAAAACACGTTACACATGATAATGATTGTACTTTGGTGAAGTTTTAAAAAAGGTGTGCATGAGGACTATCAGACTTGGATGTAAAGTGACAGTTGCCCACTGAAACATAGATATAAACAAATAGTTATATCAGTCTGACAGGTACTGGCCGTATTGTTTTGTACAATTGTAAATACTACCATCTTCCTTGAAACGATCTTGCCTCATTACCATATAGACAAATGAGAAAGAAAGTGAATGACAGAAATGTTGATTGTTGGACTATTTGTAAAACACGTTTTTGGTTGGTTAAGAACAAACGCTGAGTGTTTCTAAACATTTTCTTCAGGTTGGTAAGTATGGTTTATGAGAAGTTCTTTTTACACAACCAATACAATTTTCTATGTGATGTTTCGATGACTAGTACGATACGTACACTGTCACCTTCATCAGACAAATGACCAATGACTAATAAACACTACTTTTACCTTCAATATGCCCTGTTATCCTTGTAAACTCGAGCTAGTTTCCTCAGGTTCATTTTGAATATTGCAATAATCTATGAGCTGTTTATATGACTACAATTTTCTGCAAAACAGCATCAGCTTTTTAAAAAAGGTCACCTGAGCTTTGCTCAAGTGACCTATTCTGATCGCATTTCGTCCGTCATTGTCCGTAAACTATTTACATTTTCGACTTCTTCTCAAGAACTGGAAGATCATTTTTTTCCAAACTTGGTCAGAATCATCCTTGGTATATGAGGCTACAAAAGTATTAAGTTGGGATTCCTACCCTAACCCCCAGGGGCCAGAGTGGGGCCCCAAAGGGAAAATTAATCGAAATTTCAAAAATCTTCTTCTCCAGACTCCGAGGTACTACAGTCAATTTCTCTGCATGGATGGAAAGATCATCAAGTGCTTTATGTAAATTGTAAATTTCAGTACCCCCAGGCTGTCTAGTCTCCCTTGGGGAGGGGGTAAAGTTTACTTTAGTTTATATAGGGAATAAAATTATTCTTATTTGGTGAGAATCATTCTTGGAAGAAGATGGTATCAAATTGTAAAATTTGGATTCCTGCCTCAACCCAGGGGCCAGGGCGGGGGCCCCAAAGGCAAAATCAACCAAAATTTCAAAAATCTTCTTCTTGAGACTCAGAGGTACTACAGTAAATTTCTCTGGATGGGTGGAAAGATCATCAGGGGCTTTATGTGAATTGTAAATTTCAGTATCTCCGGGCCAACCGTTCTCCATTGGGGAGGGGGTAAAGTTTACTATAGTTTATATAGGGAAATAACACTTTTGGGCATATTTATTATTTTATTATTATTATTTTATTATTTTCGATAGGAAATTATTAATACCTCGTTAGAATGATTATGATGCCAGATGGCAATTAGATGGGATGAGAAAATCAGGTCCTGCCCCATCCCAAGGGGCTGGAGGGGTGGGGCCCGGGTGGGGAAAATGGTTAAAAGTTCAAAAATCTTCTTCATCAGACTCAGATGTGTTACAAATACTCTTCATGGATAGAAAGGTCCTTAGGTGCATTATTGGTTTGAAAAAATAAGATCCGTCCTTGCCCCAGGGGCTGGAGGGGTGGGGCCAAAAAGGGGGAAATGGCTGATGGAAACTCAGATGGTAGAAGATTCATTTATTCATTTTTTATGGAAATGCCCTTAGGTGCATTATATAAACTGTTAGTTATATTACCCTTTGGTCATCTGTTCTCCTTGGTTTATATACGGAAATATCACTTCTGACTATATCTTGTCCATTTTCAGCCAAACTTGGTTGGAATAGTTATAATGAAATTGAAATCAAATAGTATCAGAAACTAAGAACCTGACCTATCCCAGGGGTTGGCCAGGGAGGAAAATTGGCTAAATAACAATAGATATTATATTTCTCAATAGCAAAATAATTTATTTGAATTGGTTTCTAGAGTTCTTATCCTATATGGTGACATGACATGTATTGTATTTCACTTTGTTTACATGTTGATTTCCACATTTCATCTCAACAATGAAATTGAGCTACCAGTACCTATAATATAACTCAGGTGACCGCTAAGGCCCTTGGGCCTCTTGTTTAGGCAACTGACCTGAATTCACCTTATACTTGTATAACATTCTTATATATATAATTAATATATATGTAAACTGCAGTTTTGCTTCTGAAATATGCTATATTGAGTAAAGCAAAATCATCTGTTTTTTCAGGTAAGTCATGTTGTGTCTCAGAATTGCGATGGCCTTCATCTCAGAAGTGGTTTTCCTCGGAAGAAGTTGTCTGAGGTCCACGGTAACATGTACATTGAGGTTAGTGTCTTGGTCAGTGAGGAGTACCTGGTATTTCTACTGTCAAAGTTTTCTTCTTTTCTACCATTTAAATGTAATGGGTTGATGAAATATACGTGCGTTAACGCTTCACTATTCTGGACAAGCTTGGTGTCTTTTTATTGACTTGTATATTTTTTTACAGAATATTTAATAATTTAAATTTTAATCATGAAGATCATGGAACCATTCGTTATTAAACCAGTTAGTGTTCAAAACACTGATGCTAATATTGTTTTTGAGAATTTTTTCATGCGCAAAAAGGTATCTATGTATAACTTTGTTCTTATTAACTTTCTTTTCAGCTATGTAACAGCTGTAAGCCCCCACGAGAGTATATACGCTTGTTTGATGTTACTGAGAAAACTGGTGTGCGGCGACACGCTACAGACCGTAACTGTCACAGCTGTAAGAAGCCTGTGAGAGACACCATTGTACATTTTGGTGAAAAAGGGGGAGTGAAGTCACCATACAGATGGAAAGAAGCAAGCAAGGCAGCTGAAAATTGTGACCTCATCCTGTGTCTGGGAACAAGTCTTAAGGTATTGAATACAAACCTTATTTCACTCGCCTTCCAAAGAGCTAGTGAGCTTATGTCATGGTGCTCTATCCATTCATCATTAATGATTTCCTCTGCATAACAAGAAGTCAAGGGTCATGCTATGTAGAATACAGGGATGAACCCCTAGCGATGTCAAGTTCCTTCAAACTAAATGCCCTATACCACTTTCAAGATCACATATGTCAAATCTATCAAAACCTTTAAATATCTTTACAATAACCAAGAGGCCTAGGTTTATGATATTTGACCTGTAGTATACTTTAATGGAGGACCTGCAAGTTTGTTAAAGTATATTGTATTGAGCCATTTTTTTTACCAGGGGTGGGTGTCAAATTTACTGAATTATTGAAATGTGCATGATTGTTCAAAGTAAATAACCATGACAACTATCAAGGTCAAAGTGTTGGAATGTTTCGAATCTATAATCAACCTCTGTAAATATAAAAAAGAAGTCTTGTTATCAAGTTTGGCTTTAAAAATGACCCTTGAGACCAATTTTCTGTCAATTTGTCAAATGTGTAAAACAAAAGTGAACAGCTTCTGTTTAGGCCTAGAGTAGTAACATTTGACCTGTAGCTTGTTGTCACGTTTGTTTAATTAGATTACCTTGATTGACTTTGAATGTTTCAGGAGTAGATTAAGTTTAAACATTAACCATACAAAGTTTGTGGTCTTTTCTATCAAGCTGGTTTAAATCATTTTGAACAAGCTTAGACCCTCTATGAAGGTCACAGATATAAGGTGTGTTTGCCAAAAGTTCTGTGCAACAACAGACAAATACAGGTCCATTGTATCTGTTAACCCTAGAAGCCAGATTTGTTTAATAAAAGGAAAGAAGTCATTGTTGTCAAAACATACAATACAAAGTAGTTAACATTACAAGAGTCATTTATTATTGTAGTACATGAATTATAGGAGTCATTTATTATTGTAGTACATGAATTATAGGAGTCATTTATTATTGTAGTACAT